GGGTTTGGCGCGTCACAATCACTCCTGATATTTAATCAGACTCCTGATTTAATGTCTGTTGAATGAAGCTTTCTTTCCTCTTTGCAAAGAAGCTCTCCAAAAGTTATTTACTCATTTTCGCTAGTTTGTGGGCTTAATTTTTGAGGTAACGTATCACGTGACCGAGACGAGCGTCTTGACATGTCAAGAGACACAGGCGGATGACATTGCGAGAGAATCCGGTCATTTTTCAAAATAAAACCGGTGGTTGGGGACCACTGCTCTAAATAATTAACACATTACATCATCTGTAAAAAAACAAAAAACGTTAACCCTTTAAGGTCTTCATTTTGCTATAACATTATAAATAAAGTGGGTGAAAGACAGCATCCTGGTAGACGTTCTAATGCTATAGTATATATATAATAATATATTATTATATATATATACATATATACTGTAGGGGCCCTCTCTAGTGGTGAATAAATACCTACTAACTGGTGTTCCATCTGTACTAGAAGTGTCCAACATTCAGCACATAAAGTGCTCATATTCAAAGGAGTCATAAGTCTTTCTCAATATGTTGGCTGGGTTTGCATATTTTCTTTACGTTCTATTTACGTTGGCTACATCACCTGCCGTTGATTCTGCGTCGTCTTCTTGACTACTGACCTCGGCAACACCCAAGTTTTCTTGTGTTTTGTTTATTTTCTTGTCAGACTTCCACCTCCTTTGCGATTTTCCTCCTCTCAAACTCAACTTGATCTTATTTTAGTGCAGATTTATGTTAATATGAGGTCACCACTACACGTCCATCTTGATGTACAACATCTATTTTATATTAACGTGAAAACATCTCCTTCAAACTACTGGATTTATTCAAGTTCATCACCAAAACTACATTTTACAGATGACATGTGAAGACATCATGATAACGTTATAATGTACCTTCAGCCAGTACTCATTTTCACTGAACAGAGCCTGAAGGCATCATAATGTAACTGAAGTGAACCTCTGTTAGTTAGCCGTTAGCGGTACTGCTGACGTTGCTAGCTCTCCTCTGATTGGTTGTTTACAATGAAACATGATCAGAGATCAGAGACTAGAAACACACGTTCTACTGAGTATTCGAGAACGATCGTCAGTAAAACTTTATTTACACTGTGATGGTTAACGTTAAACTGTGGGGGGGGGGGGGTCAGTACGGATCCACTATGGTCCATTACTTCACTACAAATCACATAAAAAGGTCACAGTTTGACTCAAATCTGCAGCTCTGAATTAACTTATGTCTTTTTTTCTTCCAGACTCCATCAGGACGACCGAAAACCAACGAACCCACCCCCATACGGCCCCGCCTTCTGAGGTCGACCCCTCCCACCCCCACACGGCCCCGCCCAGCTCCGACTCCTCAGACGTCTCTGCGGCCGACAGCGGCGACGACTCGTCCGGCCTCCAAGAAACTCTCGCGACAGACGGAGGACGACGGAGGCGGACGGCGGCTCACTGCTGTCGTATCTGCGGTAAAACCTTCCGTCACAAAGGGAATCTTGTGAAACATGCGGAAACACACTCGGACGGCCCGACGTGTGGAGTCTGTGGAGACCACGTTGAGTCCTCGGACGGTTTGTTGGACCACCTTAGATCTCACAGAGAACCTGGCGGATCGTGTGAAATCTGTGGGAAGATATTTCAGAACGTGGAGACGCACCTGAGGAGTCACACGGGGGTCAAACCGTTCGGCTGCGACGTCTGCGGCAAGAGCTTCCCCCGACCCGGAGCGCTGAGGAGACACAAGAAGATCCACGGCAGGAGGATGCATAATGTCTGTCCCCTCTGTGGACTGACCTTCACCCAGAACCAGCTGCTCCAGGACCACCTGAAGACCCACGAAGAGGACGACGGAGACCGCAGCGAGGAGGTAGACAAAGAGGACGATCGGTCTGAGACGCCGAAACCAAAGAGAGACAGAAGATTTGTTTCCTCTTGGCTCTGCTGCAGAGTCTGCAGCGACTCCTTCCACAGCCAAGGGTTCTTGAGGAAACACGCCGAGACTCACTGCAGAGACGCTCGGAGCGTCTGTGGCATCTGTGGACAGGAGCTGGACTCAGCTGATGGTCTGCGGACTCACCTGCAGTCCCACCGAGAGACCGGCGGGACCTGCGGCATCTGTGGTAAGAGTTTCCAGAACATGGAGACGCACATGCGAAGCCACACAGGAATCAAACCGTACCGCTGCATAGTCTGCGGCAAGCGGTTCCCCCGACCTGGAGCACTGCGGCGCCACAAGAGGATCCACGGCGGCAAACAGCCACACGTCTGCCGGCACTGTGGAAAGACGTTCGTGGAGAGTGGCGCCCTGAAGATTCACAGCAGGGGTCACTCACGGGAGACGAACAAGGACGCCGAACCGCCGCCGGACTCTCAGAGCACCGAGATGGAGACGGGTGTGAGTCTCGAGGAGCTCATCAAGGAGTTGACGCCAATGTCCGATGGCTGTAAAGTCTGTGGAGAGTATTTTCAAAGTAAAGGTAGTTTGAGGAAACACGCCAAGAGTCACTCGGCAGAGTCTGTCTGCGGCGTCTGCGGTGAAAGTTTACCGCCGTCCGAGACCCTAATGGACCACCTGCAGACTCACAGAGACGCCGATAAGATCTGTTATGTCTGCGGTAAAGCCTACCAGAACATCGAGATGCACATGCGGAGTCACACCGGCGTCAAACCGTACCGCTGCTCTGTTTGTGGAAAATCCTTCCCGCGGCCCGGCGCCCTGCGGCGCCACAAGAGGATCCACAGCGGGGAGCGGCCGTACATCTGCGAGTTCTGCGGGAAGACGTTCATCGACAACGGCGCTCTGACGACTCACATCAGGAACCACACTGGAGAGAGACCAGCGCACCGCGTCTCCTGCGAGACCTGCGGGAAGAGCTTGGCGTCAGTCCACGTCCTGGAGGTCCACAAGAGGATCCACACCGGAGAAAAGCCGTTCCGGTGCCGCGTCTGCGGGAAGGCCTTCAGACAGGTCGGAGGACTGAACGCCCACCTGCTGACCCACACCGGGGAGAAGCCGTTCAGCTGTAGCTTTTGCAACAAGAGCTTCAGCACCAAAGGGTACCTGGAGATCCACATCCGGTTCCACAAGAAGGAGAAACCGTTCAGCTGCCACCTGTGCTGGAAGGCCTTCGTCACCAAGAACGACCTGAAGAAACACCTGCTGACGCACAGCGGAGAGAAACCCTACAGCTGCAGCGTCTGTGGGAGGAGCTACCAGGAGAAACGCTCCAGAGACGTGCACCTGAAGGTGCACACCGAGGTCCACACCAAGGTCCACACCGAGGTCCACTTGGACACCAAAGAACCAATCAGGAGGCAGGACGGCCTGCAACCAGACTTCATCCAGCTGTAGAGTTCACACAGACTGGTTTTATGTTCTGTCGGACTGGGACGACTAAACTTCACAAAGATGTCAGCTTTCATTTTTCAAAATAAAATAAAAATAGAAACACACTGTCAGATGTTTTTTTTTCAAGAGTCATACAAGAAGCATTAACTCTTTCAGGAGCTCAAAAACAGCATCATGTTTTGTGGCGTTTTTGCTTTAAATTTTTTGATTTTCTATTGATCAGCTGATTGATTACTGACATTTTTGAAGAGGTGACACGTGTGAGGATGTTTGAAATCAAACACGTATTTTATTTAACAAACAAAAGTCAGAGAGCAGGATTCTTTTGTATATGTATATGTATATATGTATATGTATATATGTGTATATATATGTATATATATATATATGTGTATATATATATGTATATATATATATATGTGTATATATATGTGTATATATATATATGTGTGTATATGTGTATATATGTGTGTATATGTGTATATATGTGTGTATATGTGTATATATATGTGTATATGTGTATATATATGTGTAT